GGACAGCCGAGCTCGGGCCGATTACTGTAAAGCCAGGCGCGGGTATAATTCGCCTTTAAAGAGGCCTTGCGGTCAAGAGACGGACCAGGAGAAATCAAATGCTGAATTGAAACTGGATCAATATTGGAGTTACTTTAGCATGCTGGAGGAAAGACGACACCATGGCTGAAGTATTACTGTTAGACAGGTAATGTTCTGTTTTAAAACTCTTTTAGTCCGGCTAAGCTTATGTTATGCTTGTGCTAGCTAACGTTAAGCGTGTTCTGTTATGAATGACTTATATGCACAGACGTGTTGTTCAGCCACTGAAATCTCCCGGTGAAAGATTAATGTGATTATTTTCAGTTTCATAAGGCTCTTTAACAGCATTGATAATGTAGTTTTATATTTAGTTTAACAACAAAACATCAGTAAATAGCGCTATTCCGCCTAACCTGCTTTATTGAGCTGAAGTTGCTTTTATATTCACATTGGCTCATTTTTGAACAATGACAGCCTTCCTATACTGTTTACCATGCTACTCTGAATGTTCGCTCTGAAATAGCATGTAATTGTGGCTAAGTAAAAAATGTAATTCCTGCACGGCGCTGGCACTAACTGACGAATGACATGAACTAGTGGGTTGTCTGCTTGCTGTTGTGATGCGGTGCGCCCTCGCGTTTTCAGGGGGTGTGGCTTTGAATTGCAGTCCCTCCCCGCCATCCAAAGGTAATATGCTAAGCGGTTAGCATTTTGGCAGATCACCTACTGCACCTTTAACTGTTGAAATCAACACAGCCGCATAGTGTCAGTAAACACGCGTGTGTGTCCTGTAGATTTTGTAACGGCGTTTGTGCATGATGCATCATTGCATAAAGACTTGAATAAACTCCACCACAAACACATCAAGCAAACTTTCTGGGTAATTTTGACTCATAAACTGAATCTCTGCTTCATCCATGTCAGTCTCTGTCACTGACTGCTGTTTATCTGAGGTAACGCAAAAGAAGCAGACACACACGTGGGAGCGGTGGGCGGAGAGAACCAGCTCATTTGCATTTAAAGACACAGGCTGCAAAAACTGCTACACATTGCTTTGAGCTGAAAATGGGCATGTTTTGCATTGTATAAGTAATCTGATGGGTATTTTGAGCTGACACTTTACAGACACAAAGTGATGTGTGAAGTGATGTGCAGGTAAACCTCACTCCTCTGACCTCTAAAGGTGCTCTAGCGGCAGATGTTAGAGGTCATAGTATTTAGCCTCCTTGTTAGAGCAACTGTCTCCCGTGCGGAGAGTTGCCGGTTGGATCCCAGCTTGGAGCAGGTTTGTTAGTGTAGGACCAGTGGGGTTACATTGGTGCTGTGACATGGATGGAAGTGAGGTTTAGGGGGTTGAGAGTAGTGGAGGCCAGCTAGTGAAGTGCTGTGCCGTTAAACCTCACTCCTATGACCTCTAAAGGTGCTCTAGCAACAGACGCTAGAGGCCCTGATCTTTAGCCTCCTTGTTAGAGCAACCGAATCCCACGCAGAGAGTCGCTGGTTTGATCCCAGCTCGGAATGGGTTGAGTAGACCAGCTGGGTTATATTTGCATAAAAGAACAGTTGATCAACAGTTGATTTACTCGTGCAACATAAGACTGGCTTTGTGTTCCAGCGTCACTTATTGAAAGAATAACATAGTCGCGGATGTAAAAAGAACAGCTTGTGATGTGTTTTCTTACATTAATTAGAGCAAACTCACACTCAGTGTAGCTCAGTGCACTTCATTTTAACAGCAAATTAGACACCAATTATATCTAAAACACAACAAGTGCTGGTGGTGAATTAAGGGGCACTTAGCATTTGCACCTGGAATTGATTTTTAATGGGGGTTTTATTTAAAACACACACTGTGTTGCTAATTTATGTCATATATTCCTTATAGAAAATAATTATACAATATCCAAATAAGGATGAGGCACAGTGGCTCAGTGGTTAGCACTGTTGTCTCACAGCAAGAAGGTCACTAGATCGAGATCGAGTTTAAAAAAAGTTGTTCCAAAATATATATTTAAGTTGAACAAAAGTAATTCAATTAATTTGTGTTCTATAAAAACTAGATTTTACCTTTGAGTGAATGCAATTTTATCTCCCTTGGGCAGAATAAATATTTTTGATTAATATTAAATAACATTTTTAATTTTTAACCAAGTTAAAATGATAATTTGAGGAAAAATATTAAATTGATCTAAAACGAAGTATGGGTTATTTTTAGTCTGGAAAAAAGAAAATAAGAATTAGTGGTCTATATAGTAAACAATATTTTCTGAAATATTTTTAATTTAGATTAAATTGCATTTTAAAGTTAAAAAGCAAAGTTAAATTGAAAAGTTTAAAAGTTAAATAAATTGAAAAGTTAAATAATTTTAGCTGTAATAAATGAAAGTAATTTTTTGGTTCAATCAAACCTGGTTATATTTTTTAAATAATAACAATATACATATATATATATATATATATATATATATATATATATATA